ACGAGCCGTTGCCATGGCAGTAGCGTGAGGTCACCCGTGCGAGGAACAGCCTGGGCGTACCCGGCTGGGGACACCCCGGTACCCCAAAACCCTGCCGGAGTTAACCCTTGCCCTACCTGGCAGACTCCAGTGTCTTGGAGCACTCGTGTCCCCCCAAAATGCGGTGCCCTCCCTTCGGGGTGCCACATCCCCACCCGACTGCGGTGGGCAGCACAGCGAGAGGGTCACGGGGACGCGGGGATGGGGTCAGACCTGCCCGGTGCTCCTGGGACCCCTCTCTGGGCACCCACAGTCTACCGTTCCCTGAAGAGCTGCTCCCGGGGAGCACTTACGGTCACCCTGGTGCAGGACATCCCCTCTCTGGGCAGGAGTTCAATCCCCCTTCCCGAGGATGTCCCCCAACACCTGTCCTGGCCAGCAGCCGTCACGGCACCCACCGCGGGGCTCTGGATGCTCGGGGTGAGTAACGGGGCAGCCCAGGGGGCTCCTGGCCCGGGCCCCCATCTCCACAGGGCAGGGAGGGGACGAAGTCACCCTGAAAGTCACCCTGAAAGTCAGGCCGTGGAGGGGGAAGATGGGGCTTCACATGGGGTATTGTCTGTGGGTAGCTTGCCCAGCTGGGGACACAGGGACACCCCTGGGGGGACAGGGGCATAGGAGGACACAAAGGCATCCTTAGGGGCACCGGGGAACATGGGAGTGTCCCTGGGGCCACAGAGGCATTTGAGGACACAGGCGCATCCCTGGGGGACACAGGGACACCTTGCTAACAGGACAGAGGGCGGGTAGTAGATTGTGGGAAGCCGAAAGCCTCCCCGGGGGGTCCCGGTAACATGGGCTGAGGCAGCCCCTGCATGAGGGAAGGGACACGCCGAGGACCCGCCAGAGCACGGCGTCCCTCGCCCCATCCCGATACCGGGGCAGCTCAGACCGGCCCGAGGGGCTGGGGTTGCCACGGTGGGGGGGAAAATGGGGAGCCCCCGGGCCGGGCTTCGCCGCCCCTTCCCCACCACTCCCCCCGGCTTCCCCCCACGCAGGGCCGGGGCCCCGCCACCCCCCTCCACCCGCACTCACCAGCCCGCGGCGGTGCCCGCTCCCCGCCGCCGCCGCCGTGCCCCGGCCGTCCCGGGCCGTGCGCAGGAACGAGCCGCCCCCCGCACCGCCCCCCGCGCCGCGGCACACCGACCCCTAGGGGGAGGAATGCACCGCACCGGCCCCGCACCGGCACCGCTACTGCGCTGGCACCACGCCGGCACCGGCACCGCACCGGTACCCGGCTGGCACCACACCGGCACCTCAGCGGCACCGGCACTGAACGGCACCCGCCTTGCACCGGCAGTGCCAACGCACCGGCAATGTCACCGGCACCGGCACCGCACCGCAATTGAAGTGACACCGGCACCGGCACCGGCACCGGCACTGCACCGCAGTGTCAGCAGCACCAGCACTGGCACTGCACTGGCAATGGCACTGCACCCGCACCGCGGCCCCGTGGCACGGCACCGAGAGGCCCTCTGGCACGGCATGGCACAGCACCGCGGCTCCCTCTGGCACGGGGCGCCCCTGGCAAGGCACAGCGCAGCACCAGGGCGTCCTGCACCCACCAAGTGTCAGGTCCTCCCGGAGACCCTCAGCACCCACCGTGTGCCCCAGCTGGGAGGTGCCCCGGGGTCCCAGCAAGGCACAGAGCCCCGATGGGGCTCCTGGGCTGGAGTCCCATTGGGAACTCCTCAAATCTCCTCCAGCCACTCACCCACACCCCACTGCTAGCCCAGCCCCTGCCCCCTCAGCCCCACCACACCCCCCACGTGCCGGCACTGCCCATGTGCCATCCACAGCCAAAAACCTGTTACTGGCACTGCTCATTACCAGTGACACCACCGCCATCCCCATGCTTCCCAGCCTCCTTCCTCTGAGAATTTCCATCATCTTGGGCGTCCTCAATATTCACACACGGGTGCTGCACCAGGCTGTGCCTCTCCACTGCCATTTTCCTGTTACTTCGCCCCAAAATTCTACCATTCTCTCCAGCCCTGCTGCCTGGGGTGCAGGGGAGCAGCCCATCGTGCCATGGTGGTGGTCATTGTGGGGACACAGACCAGGCAATGGGGATACCCACCAGGCCACTCTGCTTTGCTATCTGAAGGTGCTGTGACCCCCCCCCCACTGCAGTGGCTCTGGCAAAGGGCATGGAGGTCCCACCTGCCCAGGCACTGGGGCACCCGTGGGCTCTATCGTGGTGGCTGATTTGTGCCATCTCCTGATGGTGGGGACCCCACTCTGTGTCACCCCACGGGCCCCGAGGCAGCAGTGATGGCCCCAGGCTGTGGCCAGGGCAAGCAGTGGCATAAGGAACAGCGTGGGGACAGTGGCCCCACAACCTTCCAGGGTGCCCCATGGGCACCCATCCCACATCCGGGAGCACGGTGCCAGGAACTCTGCCTGCGGGCACGCCTTCCCCTGCCTTCACTGCACTGCTGCCTCTTCCCAGCCTGCAATGCCACCATCCTCCTGGTGACATGTGTCAGTACCACCAGCTCTGGTGGCACTGGGTGACAGCCACCCCTCTGCCCTGTTTTCCCCCAGGGAGGGAACATTACAGCAGCCCCCAAAGGGTAAACAGCAGACACAGGACTCCCGCCCACGTGGCTGGGACCAAACCCAGCAGAGCTCCAGCTGGGGTGACCGAGGTGGTGATGAGGACCTGGGAGTGCTGGTGACAAGAACCTGGCAGGCTCTCAGACCCCCTCAGCAGCCACATTCCTCCTGAACCTGTTTGGCAGGGCCCTGTGCAGGTGCCAAGGAAAAGGCATCCGGGTTGGGCTTTTCCTGGTCATGCCCTGCTTCACTCCTGTGCCAAGTCAACAAGGAGGACAAACAGTATTTGCTGGAGCCTGGTGCCCTCCCATACTTCTGCCGGTGCCCCCTAGAGCCACCCATGGCCCCAAGTGCTGCCAGTGCCCCACAGGCAGGAGGATCCTGCAGAAAATTGAGAAGGGGAAGAAAGAGGAGGCAGAAACAAGTGAAAAATTACCCAATTTAATCCCAAAGCCCCCCCAAGCTCCAGGGTTTCAGAAGTCCCCTGTGACCCCCCAGCCCCCTACCTGTGCAGCCCATGGGGTCCCCGGCTGAGCACACCCCAGGAGTGCCCCACAGCTCTGCTTTGGCGCAGGGAGAAGGAGCTTTCCGAGGCATCCAGCCTCTTCCTCTGCTCCACTGGCAGCCCCACAGCGGCACCCAGCCCTCACCCCACCCAGAGCCCTTAGGAAGGTGTCCTGATGAAGACCATCCTGCTAGAGTAGACCAAGTCCACCAAGTAGGCGATGAGGTTGAAGATGGTGAGGAAGGTGATCCCCAGGTGCTTGTCCCACGGGCAGTTCCTGCCGCAGGATTCGGGGCGGGGCCGTCCCTTGAAGCTGTAGAGGGGCCAGAGGATGGTGGCAGTGATGTACATCAGCAGGGCCAGGAAGTTGTACCCCACCAGCACCTTGTCCAGGGGGAAGGGGAAGTAGGCGAGGCACCGGCCAATGGTGAAGATGATGATGAGTAGGGTGAAGATGAAGCAGATGGAGTAGACAGCAATACACCACAGCAGGCCGGATTTGTGACTGTACTTATCCAGCAAGGAGAAGATAAGACAAGCCACGTAGGCTTCGAAGACCTTGAGGAGCCCGGGCACAGTGGAGAGGAAGCTGCTGACGTCCCCGGGCTTGGCGCGGGTCAGTCCCACCTCGACGGCGTAGGCGAGGAAGCAGAGGAAGGAGGTGGTGGTGGCCACGGCCTGCCGGGCACACTGGTTGCTGCTGCAGGGGCTGCTGATGAAGGTGGCGGGGAAGACCACCGAGGAGGTGAAGACCATCAGCACCGCCAGCATGGAGAAAGCCGAAGTGAAGTCGTCCCAGGAGAGCGGCAGCGCAGGGTAGAGCTCCAGCAGCTCCAACAGCAGCACCAGCAGCGTCACGACGAAGCAGAAGCACCAGGTGAACATGCACCACGTCCCCGAGGCACCCCCGAAGTTCCCCGTGGAGGCCACCAAGCTGAAGGTGAGGCAGGACAGCACGACGGCGAAGAGCCGGGCGATGCCCACCCAGGAGGTGAGGGCGCGCAGGTTCACCCTCGCCACGGCCATGGTCCCTCCGGCTCTCCCAGCCGCGCCCGCGCCGGGGAACGGGTGCTGCCGGCAGCCGCTCTTATCGGAGTGCCGGCGCGGAAGGGTGGGGCGCGGGGCAGGGAGCTGCCAGCCCCCCCGAGCCACTTGCGCTGAGGACCCTCGGCTGCTGCCACCGCCACCGCCGCGCACAGCCGGCCAGGTGGCTGCCGGGGGCTGGCGGCCACGCCGGCGGGTGGATCATTAACGCGGGGCTGGGCAAAGGGTGCCGGTGCTGGCGGGGATGTCGAGCCCCACGGTGTGGCTGGGGCAGGCAGGAAACACCGTGTGCCACCGTCCTGGCACAGTGTCCCAGCCCTGCCCACGGCAGGAGGCACAAAGGGGCCTTTCAGGCACCCCGGGAGTACCGGGGAATCACCTTGACACCCCATCCCCACGGAGTGCCAGGGTTGGATGCCAGCGGGGCAGCACCCACCGGGCCCACCTGAAGGGGTTGGGGGCTGGACCCAGTGCTGGGTGCCCTTGGAAGGGGGGTGCCACAGCAGGGCGTAGCCCCCTCACACCCTTGCAGGCGACACCTCCACACCCCTCTGGCACCTCCACACCCCTCTGGCACCTCCACACCCCTCTGGCACCTCCACACCCCTCCCGGCACCTCCACACCCCTCCCGGCACCTCCACTACCTGATAAGTGGCTCAAAGTCCAGCTATGCCAGTTGCTGTCACTGGTCAGGATGGGTGAGGTAACCGTGGGGAGGGCACCCGCACCTTGGCCCCCCCGGCACACCCCATGGGCAGCACCCCCACCCCCCCAGGGTGCCTGGGGAGGGTCTCATCCCGGAGCAGCACAAGGAGAGTGGTGGCACGTCAGAGGTGGGGAGTGCAGCAGGAGGAGGGTGATGGCAAAGGCTGAAGGCTGCAGCCTGACCTTTGATGTCACACAGGATCCCTGGGGTCTGTGCCCATGGCAGAGCCTGGGGATGAGGGGCAGCTGGGCACTGTCAGGGGATGCCTCACCCCAAATTAACATGGGCTCCTCACCCCAGGCAGGGTCTGGGCACAGCCATGGTGGGCAGGAGCAGGCACTGCCATGGGGTCCAGTGGTGGCTCTGGGGGGCATGAGGTGGCTCAGAGGTGGCTGCCACCCTCACCTTTGCCAGGCAGCCCGTTGAGGGGGCTCAGCACCGGCCGGTTGCTCTCGTTCAGCCGCCGCACGCGGTAGCTCTCATAGTGGACATTGTGGGTGATGTCCTTCAGGTCCTGCAGGTGTGACCTGCTCAGGGTGACAAGGGGAGGAAGGGCATCATGTCACTGTCCCCTCTGCCCGGCTGTCACATCAGGAATTCCAGCACCCCCTACCCGGTCCCCCACTCACCGGATCAGCAGGTCCCGCAGGAGGGGGAACTCGCAGTGTGCTGGGTTCTCCACTGCAAAGCAAGGCAGAGGGGCAGCAGGTGGGTAGTGGGTGGGCAGGAGGGCACGGTGGTGGGCAGATGCCCAGGGAGCACATCCCAACATGCTCCAGGTGCCACTGGAGCACCAGCATGGCTCCGTGACACACCTGTGGGCTCAGCAACCACCCAGGCAGGGATGCACCCCTGGGTGCTGCTCCCCACAGGCCCCCACAGGAGGGCTGGGGGTGCAAAGGGCTCAACTCACCTTCGATGATGCCCCACTTGGTCTTGCGGCCCAGCACCCGCTTGCCATTCACCTGGTGCTCCTGGTCCGCCCCCACCACGGCAAAGGGGATCTTCTCCTGCCGGTGCAGAGGGCTGTGCTCACCCCACGTGCTCTGGGCTGCCCCAGGGGGTTTCTCCCCCACCCTTCTCCCCAGGGTTGGCACCCCCAGTCCTGGCATCCTGGCACTCACCCGAATCCTGTCATTCAGTGCCCTGTCTTCAGGGTCCTGGTCAAAGTCCTCCTGCGGGTACACGCTGATGGCGTGGGTCTTCAGGTCCTCCTGGATCTGCGGGATGCAGGACTTGAGCCGGGGCTGGGGATACATGGGGCACCCCAGGAGTGCCTCGGGGACCTGTCCTCACCCGCTGCTTGAACTCTGCCCGCTCCTCCAGGGTGAGTGTGTCGGCTTTGGCGATCACTGGCACCACGTTGACAATCTTGCTGAGCCGCCGCATGAACTCCAGATCCAGTGGGCGCAGCCTGCCAAGGACCACCACCATCACCCCTGGGTGACCCCACCACTGTCACTGTGGGGTGACCCCACTACCATCACCCTGAGGTGGCACCACCGCCGTCACCCTGGGGTCACCCCACCATCTTCACCCCAGGGTGACACAACCATCCCAGGATGACCTCACCACCATTACCTCAGAGTGACCCCATCACCATCACCCTGGGGTGACCCCATCACCCCACGGGTGCTGCAAGTGAAGACTCACCAGTGACCCGTGGGGGGGACAAAGTAGACACATCCATGGACCCGAGTGTCTGGGATCTTCCTCTTACGGGTGATGAGGATCTCCTCCCGCAGGTACCTCTCATACTGCTCATTGATGTATTTGATGATGGGGTCCCAGCTGAGGACAAGTTGGGGGACAGCATCTGAGCTCAATCCCCACCCAAACTGTCATGCACCAAGCTGGGCTGCTGCACCCCACTGTGTCCTACCAGTTTTCATTGTTGATCTGGTCCCCAAACCCCGGCGTGTCCGTCACTGTCAGCTTCATCTTCACCCCCTTCTCCTCGATGACTACGGGGCAGAGAGGTGGCTCAGTGGGGATGAAGCATTTGGGAGCAGGAGAGGACGGGGGGAGGGGGGTCAGAGGCTGCCCTCAGACCTCCCCTTGGTCCTCTGTTTCTCCCTAGTGTTGGTGGGACACAACCCCAAGGTGATAACCTTACCGTGGGTGATAGACTGAAGCTGCACTGTCTTGGGAATACGTTCCTCCTGGCCAGGCTGCGAGGATTTGCGGCTCACCTTGGACTTGAAGAGGGTGTTCACCATCGTGGACTTCCCCAGCCCGCTCTGCCCTGAGGGGACAGCAGCAGCTCTGGTTTGTCCCCCAGGGTGGTAACACCTCGGTATCCCTTTGGGAGCATTCCAGAGGTTGGGCTAGTTCAATGTACCTCCCAAATAAATTTATTCCCCAAGGCTGTAATATCTCAGTGTCCATTTGGGAGCATCCAAGAGGTTGGAACGAGCTCACCTATCACCATCACTATATTATGCTGATAAGGGATGTCGGGGTTGTTGCTCCTCTTCAATTGTTTGCTACTTAAATAATTTAAAATCTCTAAATTTCCTTAAAACTCCTTAAAAACATGATTTCCCCTGGCATGGCGGAATCAGAGCCAGGATTCCCACCCCAGCCAGGAGCAAACCCTGGACCCAATGCTCACCCACAACCATGATATTGAACTCGAAGCCCGTCTTCATGGTTTTGATTTTCATCTGGTCGAGCACGGCTTCAATTCCCACATATCCAAAGAGCTGGCAACCCACCGGGCCAGGTGCCACGGGGACGGGCACCTCCTCCTCCGGCACGGCCGGCGGCTCCATGCTGCACTCCTCGGGCTCCAGGCTGCTCCCTGCACAGGTGGGCAAAGGCAGATGAGCCCGGAGCCCCTGGTGCCCACCCCTCCGCAGACACCGTTACCCCAGCAGCAGCCGCGCCGGCGGGCACAGAGCCCCGGCACATTCCTGGCAGCTGGAGAGGCTCAGCATGGCAACACGAGCACGCCACCCCCTGGCACACTGAGGGTTCTGAGGAGGTGCCAGTGGCATCTTTGGGGCGGCTGCGCCGCTGGACGCCCCCCATGCCCCCGGTTGCCCTGCGATGTGGCATCGGGCAGCAGGGCCATGGCCAGCTTCCTTTGCCCAGCCCATCCATGCCGCCACCCGTGCCAAGGCCACCTCCCGAAGCACCGCTGCGGCCTCGGCACACCCAGAGGACTCCCGGCCTGGGGCAGGAAGTGCCATCCCACATCGTACCCGGGCAGCGGTCACTGCTGGGCAAGGGGCACTGGGGGGGAGGTCGGAGAGCGCAGCGCATTCACCGGCACAACCCTGAGCCCCAGGGGCAGGGGGTTTGTCCGGGGGACCGCGCACAGAGTGTGCTCCAGCCTGGGGGCCACCGGAGCCCTGCGCCCGCTCCCGCCGCTTGTGCGGCAGCTTGGGGGGCCCTCAATCCCTGTCTTCCTCCTCCTCCTCCTCCTCCTCCTCCTCCTGCTGCTGCTGCTTCCCAGCACGGCCATTGTTCAGGTCCTACCTCGGTGCCGCGGTGCCCTCGCTCAGCTCCTCGCTACGGTCGGCGGGGGTCCCCCGGGTGCCACCAGCATCCCCAGCCCCAGCAGCGCTGCAGCCCGGCCCCCTTCCCTCCGCCAGCTCCCGGCTGGCACCAAACAGGCTCCGGCTCGGCTGCCGCTCCCACGCATGACCAGCATGGCAATATCCCGCCTCCCGCAGCCCCCTCCCCGCCACAGCCAAGCCCCTGTGCCCAGTTTGCCGGCTGACTGGTGAGTGCAGAAGGCACCGACCCTGCTGTGCCCACCCGACTATGCCCACCTCAGCCTGCAGCCAGGCCAGCGTGGATGCAGACCACCCTCCCGGGTAGTTGCAGTGACACTGAAGAGAAGTGGGAGTGTTTGACTGTGGGTACCATCCCCGATGGCACCCACACGCTCCCTGGCACCAGGGACCACCCCGGTAGCACCTGTGCCCAGCCCTGGCATGGCAGGGTGGGATGAGGGGTGGTGGCCCCGCCACCCGCCCCGCTGCCGCAGTGCCCCTCGGCGCCTGCGTCCCCCCACGCCACAGCCTCCCCCACGTGTGCCAGCCGGCACTTGGCACCAGCGAGGCTAGAGTGGCAGCTTGTGATGGCCCAGGCTGCCAAGTGTCCTGCCGAGGCCGTGTCCGTGTGCCACGCAGCCAGGGGACAAGGACATGTGGGCAGGGGCCAACCTGAGCCAATCTGGGGTACCAGACGATGGAGTTGAACACACCCATTGCCATGGCAACAGCACCCAGGAGGGTGGGGGAGGCACCCAGCACCCTGTGCCCACTGTGTGGGCACCTTGCCAGGGCGATGGCAGCGTTGGGGACAGCAGCGTCACATGTGCCAGCTGTATGTGGGTTGGGGTGTTCCTCAGAAGTGGCGAGACAGCCATGGATTTCCTGGTGACAGCAGTGACACCAAGGGGGGAGGGGGGGCTGATAGTGGGCAGGGTGCCCACTCTTGTGGCAATCCACCCACCCAGCACTGCCCATCCTGATGGGGTGCTCCACAGGCAGGCAGGGAGGTGGGATGGGGTGTCCCCATCAGGAAGGGGACCCTGAGAACCATTGTCAACCGTCATCCAGACAGGCCATTGCTCCTGGGGGACACTGGCACACCCACCCTGGCCCCACTTCCTGGTCCCTGCCAGCCCTGGAAGTTGCCAGGACAGATCCAGAACCAAGTGATGCAGCCACTGCCTGGAGCCATCCTGGATGGCTGGACACTGCAGGCAGGGAACAGGCAGGATTTAGTGATTGCACCTCTCAGCTCTCCAGGGCGGTCCCCAGAGCGCAGCCCCCCTGCAGAGGCTCAGCCATCTCCCTGTGCTGTGCCAGTGGCAGCACCAAGGACACAACCACAGCCAGAGAGCACGGCTGGTGGAGCCGAGGGGTGACATTGGGTGCTGCAGCCACAAATGCCTCCCCCACGGGGCCAGAGCCCCCACTGCCCCAGCCCTTGGTGCCAAAAAGCCCTGTCAGCGATGACCAGCAGCCGGGTGGCCTCGTGGAAGCTCTTCGGCATCCCGACGGAGCTCTGGGGCAAATGGCTCCTGCAGCCAGACCTGTTCCAGGACTCATCAGAGATGCTCTTATTTTCCAGGCAGGGACAAGTAATCCCAGGTCCGTGGTCTCCTCCATGCATTTAATTACCGATGTGGGGTTAATTGGCCAGTTCCCAGGGAAGCCTGTAATAAGGCTCCAAGGGTGGAGGGTGCTGGGAGAGGATGAGCCAGGAGAGGAGCTCCCACTGTGCTGCTCCCACTCCCGCTGTTTGCCACCTCACCATACTGGACATGGGATGGGGAAACGGCGGCTTCGGATCTGGCACAAGGGAGCTGACCCGTCTGGCAAAGGGATGGAGGATTTTGGGGATGCACCCCCCACACCAGCCACACCACAGCTCTACCCGCCCGGCCCAGCATGACCCAGGAATGCTGGTGCCTGCCCCAGTGCCAAGCACATCCCGAGGGGACAGTGGTGACAATCCCCACGTGCAGTCAGACCCAGAGCCAGCCCCCCTGTCTGCCTGGTGCAGGAGGGAGCCTTGGGACAGGGATGGGGGTGGCTGAGGACCTTCAGCGAGCAGAAGCAGAAGTGAACCATCGAGCGAAACCCTGCGCCTGAGGCACCGCTGGGGACTGGGGACCAGGGACAGTCACCCAGCCCCGGTGACAGCACCCCCCTGCCCGCACACCGCCCTACCCGGTGCCACCACACCATCCCTACCTGGGCGAGCCGGCCAGAGCCGGGGTTGTTGCTGCCGAGAGCTGGTCACTGGGGCCAAATGGCTCCTGGGGTGCAAGGCGGAGGACGGCTACGGCCCACGGCTCCTCCTCCGCTCCTCCTCCTCCTCCTCCTCCTCTTCGCCCCAGGCCCTGCGTGGGCGACCCGGCGTGGAAGCGAAACAGGGAGGCCGCCGGCTCACTTGGAGCTTCCTCCCACGGGGTGTGGGACCGACCCAGCGTGCCACGACACCCCGAGGCCACCCACGGGTGTCAGCGGCTGGGGGCCGGGGTGGCCTCCCGGGAGAGGAAACAGATCGTTCCCACCTCTTCCTGGCAGAGAAACCGCTGTGCCTGAGCAGCATCTGCCAGTCCCCTGCCAGTTCCGGGCCATCTGCAAGGCAGCGGGTGCCCACACGCTGCCCGCTGGCTCCTGTCCCACCCCGTAGTCTGGGCACGCCACGCTCGACTGCCTGCCATCAACACAACTCCGTCCTGAGCACTACGTGTGTCCCCATCACCCTGGATCGGTCCTGAACACAGTGATCTGGTGTCACCATAGCCCTGGATCAGTCTGGAGCACCGTGTCCCCATTTCCCCATCACCCTGGCTTGGCCTTGAGCACCGTGGCCCTGTCACAGCCCTGAGCACTGTCCCCATCTCCTCCCTAACCCAGGCTGGCACTGAGCGCTGTGTCCCCACGTCCCTGTCACCCTGCCTCGGGACCAGCCCCTGTCCCTGTGTGTCCCCATGACCCTGGCTCAGCCTTGAGCACCATACCGTGTCCCTATCACCTCAGAAGCTCAGCCTCAGGTGCTGATTCCCCCGTGTCCTCATGACCCCGGCTCGTCCGGAGCCCCGTCCCTCCTCCCGGCCGGTGCCGCGGGCAGCGGGGCAGCCGGGCTGGCTGGGCAGCGCACGGGCATTGCTGGGGGATGATTCACCGCCGCCCGGAGCAGATGTATGGATGCCTTTGCCGCGTCAGTACTTAGGGCCCGGCGACGGCGGCTCCACGACAGCCCAGCGAGACGGGCAAGGAGCCCCAAGCACCCAAACAGGGAGCCCTGGCGGCAGAGGCCGTCTCCAGGCCACCCCGGCGCCCTCCTGGAGAAGCCGCCGGGAAGGGGAACACGGGGAATCCCCCACCCCATTCGTGGGGACGGGCACGGGGTTTGGCAGAGCCCACCCCGGCACGGTGGGAGCCAGGGGCACGGCGGTGCCGGCGAGCCCGGCATCGTTCCCCGTGGCGCTCCGAGCACGCCCCGGCGCAGCTTGGCCCCCCGCCACCTCCCGCGCCCCACGGGAAGGGAGGAACAGGATCCGTCCCCGTGCCAAGGCAAGGAGGGAAGGTTGGGGAAGAAAGCGCTGGACGTGGGACAAGATCCCGGCGATAGGCGGCACGCGCGGGGCCCGGCGCGATGGGGCACATGAGTCCCGACCTGTCTCCCCGTGCCGGGAAAAACAATTAGCGCCGGGGCGGCGCGGGAAGCTCGCCAGGCACCCCGGGGCCGGGAGCGCTGCCAGCACCGAGCTCGGCTCCGTGCTCTACGGCCCCCCCACATCCAACGCTCTCCGTGGCCCCCCGGCGTCAGCAGTGGGGGTATTTTAGCAGCGCTGCGCCCACTAAGAGGTCTTGGTGAGGAGAGGGGACAGAAGAGGAAGCGAGTCCTACCGTGCTCTGGTGTCCCCGCTGCCCCGCTGCCGTCTGCAGCCTTGCTGGGAGCTGCTGCCACCACGCAGGGTCCCCGTGGTCCCACCGTCCCGGTGCTGGGGGGGTTCCCTCTGGCTCCACGGGGCGCTGCCGGTGTCCCCAGCGTTGGCACCAGCACCAACCCCCCGAGGAAGGCGGGCTGGGAGCTCACTTGCACCGTCTGTGGCTGTGACACCAGCCTGAAGGTGGCAGCTTGGGGGGCTGGCAGTGGGGGCAACCCCTCAGCCCTCACCAGG